CAGAAAAGTGTCCCCAAATTGTTGTGAGCGCTCGCGTGATCGGGCCATAGGCTGTTGGGGTGCAAACATTTGTATTAATATTATTATAATGTCGTTATATTTCACGTTTAAATCATGAATTATTTCAATCCCGATATTTGCCATCAAATTTAATATAAAATATGTTTTGTTTGCTTTTTAAAAAAATGTTACATATGATTTTTTAGAGTCTTATTTTTTTATTGCTTTTTGTTTTCTTTCAATTTTATTGAAAATTTATTTTTTGAATATATTTACAGAATATTTATTCTGGAAATTCAAGAGATAGTAAAAGAATATTTTCTTTCATAAAAATATTTTTACGAAATAATTTATTTTGAAAAATAGGACGTGATATCGAAAAATGATTGAATAATTTACATTTCATTCCCGTTTAACAAATATGTTTTTTGTGTGAACACTGTTTTAATGAATTGATTTATAATTTTAAAATAAATTTGTTTCTTACGACAGATGTTATGCCACTGTTGTATATATACTGTCATTATTTCTAAATTAAATCAATAGATCCTTATTATGATTATTGATTTTAAAGCAACAAAACTAAATAACATTGTTAAATAATTCTAATGATAAGCCTTACTTATAGTAATAATTATTATTATTTTAATATTTTTGTTAAAATGTTACTATTTATATGATTATTGGCATTGTTGCCAAAGTTAGTACTTTCTATAGATTTGATAATATAATAGCAACAGAAGAAAAACATTTTAATTAAAACACAATTATTTCATGTAGATTTTTTGCTATAAAATATTTTTTGAATGCCCTAATTATATTTAATTAAAATTTTTATAAAATATAATTATTCACAATTCAAGTGGATAATTGATCATTTTTTGTCTAATTATAATTTCTATTAATGTAACAAAAAATTACATATTTATGTATTGAACTTTAAATAACATTAAAACAATATTTTCAGTAAAACAGTAATAATAAAAACTGTAATGTAATCGTGATATGCAAAACATTTGTATATTATTTATACAGATTTTACCACGAAGAAATGTTTGGCAAAAATTGAGATTTAAATGTTAAAACTTTTTGAATTGTAACTGAACATCAAATAACGATCTATTGATTGCATACCTGAGAGCACTTGTATAGTGTTTCATCGCTAACTCAATATTTCCCAAATCTTTTTGTAGATTTGCGTAATTGTAATGAGTTTTTGCATTTTGCGGAAGACTTCTCAGTCCGGATCTGATATCAAACAAAATTGGTTTAAAAAAAATGTCCAAAAATGGTTGTCATAGATATAATAAGATATATGATGATAAAACCAAACTGGTTCAAAGGTAATATGTATAATAAATAGTATGCATATAATGTCAATAATACTCACTCAAAGAGTGCCTCTCTTGACATCCAAGACCTGTTCTGTTTGACTGTCTTTATGGCGAATATAAGGATGAGTGCAAACATCGCTGATCTTATTATTGGGACTAATTTTTTGGCAAATATACTCTTGCTTTGAGTGAGCCGTTGAAGACCAGTGCAAACCAATACAATCATTCCTATACTATATTTCAGAAAATATAATTTTTGTCAATTGTTTTCCAAATGTATAATTAATGTTAATATTAAATGTGTTATTTTAAACAAAATTGTTTATTAAATTATTGTTTTGACAAAACGTTTAAATAATTTCCTCAATAAATGTATAAAAAGTAAAAACATATTAAACTAAATCATAAATAAATAATTTATGAGATAAAGTCTCAAAACATAAAACAAATTAAAAGCGATTAAAAGTTAAATAATAAATAATAGAGTAACACTATGTTATGTATAATTTGTATTATAACTAATAATTTATGCTATAAAACAATAACTTAAAAGACACAATACCTGGGAATATAAAGCACTCTCTCAGCGACAACAAAGCCAACGGTAACGAAGAGATTGGAGGCCGGAATGTACGGCAGTATTAATAATGTAATACCAACACATAGGGTTCTATTGGACAGATCCTACAAATCGTGATCAAAAGAAACAACAAAATCTATATATAATTTTTTTGTGAATATTTGTGTGACATTTTGTGTCAATTTGTAACTGAATTTGAAATGTTTTGAGAGGAAATCTCAATCAAATACAGCAATGTTTTGCGGCAATTAGTGATGGGAAAGGAGTGACTGACCTGATCGTCACGAGAGGACACAGAGGTTTGGCATAATTTCCATATAATAAGAGCCAAAACCAATACTAATAATAAGGCAAATATGTTTCTAATGTCGGAAATACTGGTAATGAGTTGAATGCTTCCCATCTGCCAGTCGTAGGCCAGGGTTGCCGGCGATAGGAGAAGACGGGCGTTGAATGACGAGAGATAGCTGTAGGTTAGGAACCTGTGATGTCGAACCCATAAAATGCATTAATGTAATTGAGACAATAGTCACATGTTATTATATTTGATTTAATCGCTATATTGCGGACATTACATTAGTTTTGGGCATTACATCACTTGTTTCATCAAATCATGCAATCAATAATTATTTTCGAGATTAGTGATTGAAAATCAATATATAATATAAATAATAAATGCAATTTCAGTCAAATTAAGTTTAATTAAATATAAATGAATAAAATTAAAAAGCATAAGTTAGAGAGTGTATGATATGTAATGTTACATTACTAATGTTTAAAGCATTTAGTATGCAACATCAAATTTACATTAAATAGCCCCTCAAATGCCTCTTTCTTACAATACATGACATGCATGTAATAAATGACAAATATATTTGTAATGAATGTTTGTTTGTTAGTATGCATTAGTTTGGTATATATAGGCATTGATGATGGTGATTGTAGTGAAATGTACCTGGTTAATGAAGACTTTGAGAAGGAGGTTGGGTTGTCCTGTTCGGTGAACACTGGAAGAGAACCGCCCAGAAGTTGAATGCGAACGCAAAGCGATAGTATTAACTGTTTTGACACAGAATTATGTGAGAAATTAATTGTGTGACCAAATTGTGAATGCAATGCAAATAAACAATTCTTACAGTTATCACAACACTTAGAAGTGGACTAAAGACCCACACTTTGTTGGCTTCACTAACACTCACTCCGATTGGGTTCTTCTCGTCCACACGACTAATGCATTGAGAAAACAGTTTAAGTGATTGAAGAGATGGAGAGAAAAAATCGCGTCAAACGAGAAGAGAATACTTAATATTGCCATCACTTATACAGAGTGAGAGGGGGGAGAGAGAGAGAGAGAGAGAGAGAGAGGGAGACTAAACAAAACAATGTCTAGTTTAACGTCTACTTAATTATATACAGTACGGGACGTGTGAAATGGAAAGCATTGTCACTGTTTTGATAGTGTATTAATCATAGATGTCTTGTCATTAAAATGATAATAATTAAATTTTTAATAAAAATTTGAAAGAAAATTTAATTTTAGTAAAAGGATATCTTATTTGACAAAAAACTATGAAATATTGAGTTTTTTGTTGAAAGGCGGAAACCATTGAGAATGATATTTGTATTTGACGGGTAACTAGATTTTTATATATTAAAATCACTCATAAGATTACAGTACAGTATATTATGTTTAGCTATAATTAAGTTATAATTTGCTAAAAATAATTACATTTTGAAGCACTGATGTGTTCAAAGTTTGAACAAATTATCATAAGTTAATGAGAAAATCTAAAGCTATTAATATATTTTCTGTTTATAACTTTTATTTATTAATAATTACGAGAACTTTGATATTATATTTATTCATACTAAAAAACTATATTTAAAATATAATATGATATTCACATCCATTGTATTTTCAATTATAAGACTAATGACAACATTGGATAATAATATTAAGTGATTCTCGAGAAAACTCGTTAATAAATATAAAAGAGTTATAAATAGTGTAATAATAGAAAATCAATAATTGATTG